CAAACGGCGGCCACTCGCCCAGCGCAGAGGGACAACAGTGCGCGAACGGCCGGGCAAAGGGCCTGTCCCCCCAGAGGCTCCCTGGATCCCAGCGAGTTCTTGGACTCGGCCGGTAGAATACRGGATCCCCACGGCCTCAGACTGCAAACACTAGTGAGGGGACAAGCACAACCCCGCCCCGGCGCCGACAGCCAAACTYGGGCTGCAACCAGCCCCACGCCGCTGCCGCCCCGTGCAAGTGGCACCGGTGCCCCMCAGTTTGACCTCAGCTCATCCATAGCAGCAGGCAAACCAGAGCACTGCCTTACATCACAGATCTGCTGCGCGGCACCAAGCTGCGTCTAAACTGAGGTCAGGGCTAGGCTGGAGCCCCCCTGAGCTGGGGGCGCTCGGGAGGGTCTCACCCGCCAACAGCAGCTCTGGTGACCGCAGCGCCCAACGGAACTTGCGGACGGTGTCGCCACTCCCGGCAGCACCTCCCTAACGCCAAGGGGAAAACATTAAGCGCACGCTGATTCTGACAGCTTGGCAGTTTGTGAAGTCTGCATTCCCTTACCTTTGGAGCGAGGGAATGGCGCCTCTGAGCAACACCCGGGCTCTCCCCCTCCTTGCACGTGGGGCAGGTCGACTCGAGACCTTCTCACCAGGGCGCAGGGAAGTCAGAGCTACTCTTACCAAGAGGAGAGCTCGAGCAAGGCCCCTCCCAGTCCTCCAGGCCACGTACTTCCCACCACCTGCGACAAGGCAAAGTCCTGGGCGAAGCTCCAAGGTCAGGGCAGGGGTGGAGACAGAGACGGGGGGGCTCGTCCTTCATGAGTAAGGGCTGCCTCTAGGCTCGGAGCAGCCCCTCTTGCCCAGCTAGAACCAACTCGAGGTACCTGGAGCTGCGGCCCAGGCCTTGAGGCAGAGGCTCTGTGCTGGGGTGCAYGGGGCCACTCGGTCTCCTTGAGAGYCGTCTGCCTGCCCCATTCCCGCAGGGAGGCCTTACTCTCACCTTCCTTCGGCCGGGACTCTCCTCTGAAGGAAACTCTGCAACCTGCATTTTCTTGGATGTACTTCAGTAGTTTCCATTACCAGGTAACATCTGCCATTCCCAGATTCTTCCCTACGCCACAACGAGCATCACACCCAGTTTTCCTGCTTTGCTTTCGGCAAAGCCCACATTACAAGTTGTGGGAACACCATTCCTGAGCACAAGTACAGCAGCACAGCACCTATTTGCCACCAGAGATGCGCTTTTCCTCTCTTCCTTCAACCTGCAAAGTGCAATTTCACCTTATCTGGAACTATTAAACGCCATCGGACCAAGACAACAAACTCACCTGCACGGCAAATCCGCAGCGTTCCTTGGGAGCCTCCGCTGAGGAGGCGCGAGGACACACAAGTTAATTCGGCTCCTCGAAGCCGGGGCTCTGTCGGACACAACTACTGCCCCATGGTCACAACAACCGCTTCTGCCTATTCCCGARGCTCATTAAGTACACTGATTAATTGCACTGATGAGAGCATCGCGGAGACATACGTGGCAGTTCTCTGGCCCYGTCATATTTGGATTAAAGACCAAAGCAAAAAAGGAGCCCCCACCTTCTCCACCACTCGCTAACTTCTGCTGAAGGACAACTAGCAACCAGGGAGCTTTATGTCCATTATTTTTAAGCTTCTGCYGCTGTTCCAAAACCTTTCATTCCAAAGCTTTCCAATAAAACACTGGCAGTGTCCGTGGCACCCGGGACTCTCCGAGCAGCTGAGGCACCTTTCCCTTTGTGCATGCAGGCACGGAGCAAGGCCACACATTTTCTCAACCCAGGAAGAGGTTGCAAGTCTTCAAAATCCACATGAAGCTGGTAAATAAAATGTAATGTAAGAGAAACAGCTAAGCAACAATCTCCTTTTAACAACGTTACACAAAGCCATGTCCAAGTTTTTCCTAGATTTATTAGAAAGAAATCGTTACAGCTGTCAGCCTCAGTACTGCACTCCGCACGGACCTGGGTGTTAATGGCTGCGTAATTCAGTTTAAAAGAAAAACACATAACAGTTCAGAAGGACTTTCTGTTTTTTAATGCCATCATTTAATGGAAAAAAAAATGCCTTTTAAAACCAGTTTAGGGGTACATCCACCTTCAGCTTCTTGCCCCTTCCGCAACGTGGAGTTGTCGGAGGCCGGTCCCTAAAAGGCTCGAGAGGCGTCGCCCCGAGAGCCGGGCTTTGCTCCAGGTGCCGCCGAGGGCTGTTTTCCCAGTGCTCCGGCTTGCCGCCAGTACATTCAAACTCAAACACCACAAGGGCATGGAAAGAAAGAAGCTACTAGAGACACGGCAACGACAGCAGTGACGGCTATGAACAGGGCTCGCTCGAGAGGTCTCRGGACCGGCTGCAGGGTCCAGCGCTTCCTCTGCTGCTGCCACACGGGAAGCCGGCTCCGCTGCTGGCGCACGAAGGGGCTCCTCGTTCGGAGGGCTCAGCACACGGTTTTGCCAGTGACCACCTCTGAATCCACCCCCACGCTCAATGAGCCCCCCCAAACCCACCATGCAACGGGTGCGTCGGTATTTCGGTATTTACGGAGACACCGCCGAGAAGCGCTGCGAGGCGCGCGCACCCGCGCTCCGCCGCAAACACGCCGCCGCGCTGCGGGTCTGCTCTAAAGGCCGCTCACCGGCGCGCGACTCCGCTGCACCGCCCCGTGAGCACGGGGCTCCCGTCGGCCCCAGCRCAGAACAAGGTAAGGCATTCGCATCCCTCCCGCTGCTGGGAGCACCGAATCCCCTTCTCCGGAGCTCTCGGGGCCTTTGGAGACCACGAGGAGCTTCCCGGCGCAAAGGCAAGTCCAGCTCTTCCCGGAGCCCCGAACCTGGCGCTTCTCGGGGCTGCTACGCACAACACGGACAGCGCTCCCGGGCACGCACTTCTGAAATAAACATTTGTTCTTAAGCCCCGCTAGATAACAACAGGGCTTAGGCACTTCTGAGGAGTTTTATCCATCCTTAGCAAGGGGAAGCTTTAGGCCATAAAAKAGGGGATGAACAATCATCTGGAAAGTGAAGGGTTTGTGACTGGCAAGCAGCAGCTTGGTGGCTGGAAAGGGGGTCTTAGGTGGGCTTCACCTCCACACAGAGCCCCAGCTGCTCCGGGGGGATTCTGCACCTGAGGATCTGCCTGCCTGCAGAGCCAAGGCCTTCCCTTGGTTTTAAATCAAAACTCGGCACGAGACTATACCTTGGGAAAAGCCTTTTTCAGCAGCACGTCGCGTCCGCCGCACTCAGTGCCRGGAAGCGACGAGGACCTGGGGAGCAGGAAGCCGGGAACAGAGACCTGCACGGGCCGGGAGAGCCGGCAGATCCCACACGGCTCCAGAAGGGAGGTGGGGAGGCCACCCGCAGGCAACGGGAGAAGGCGGCTTCACGGACGCAGCGTCTCCGGAGCAGAGCAATGACCCGCTACTGCAAAATACCCCGTTTGAGAGGTTTTCTTTACAAGCAAGAAAAGAGGCTTTTCAGTCCTTCAGTCGCGAGCAGCGCAACCCCCCTGCGGAGGCCGGGGCCTCCAGGCCCCACGTTTGAGAGCCCCCCACGTTAAAAAGGTCCGAAGTTTCTAACGTTCCCGTTTGTGACGCAGTGCAAGGGCCCGGTARAGGTCCAGAGGCACCTTCTTCTACCAGGCAAAACTTCCACCACCTGCCGCTCCCGCCCCACCGAACCTGCCTGCGTGAGGACACCTACAGTTAAGGGTTTACTTAAAAGCAAAGCACAACACTTCCTTTCACACGATACCAGAAAGCGATCAGCAGGGGCTACACTTTAAAATCCTATTTCATCCCTTCAGAGAGGAATTACTTGGGAAGCCGGTGCCTTTGCTTACTCCCCAAGGGCCCACGGGACATTCGGAGGCTTTTGGGTGTCCATCTCCCAGGGACACCCATCCAGCCCAACGTGCAGCCCTTTCCCGCCGAAGGAGCTGAGGCTGCAAGGTGCTCGCAGCAGGGTAAGGGAAATCAACCTGCTCTCGTTGGGACCCTTACATCACAGCCCTTACAAACCAGACATTGCCAAAATTCATCCCTACAGATGGAACAAAGCACCTAACGCGACGGTAGGTAGGGATTTGCACTGTTCTTTTTGTGCTGTTTGAGAATCTTTCTCCATTTGCCCTCTATTCTCAAGTCCTATGCAGCAAAACCTCTTCAAGACTGCAGACCACAGCTCCCGAGTCTCACACATGGGCACGGGGAAAGCATTCAGAATGGCTGCAAGGCTTGGCAGCATTCCCGTTCACACGGCTCAGATCCCGATGTGGGGATCACTTCCTGCTTGCTCTTCCTCTGGCTCTTTGACTTAAACACATCAGCTGCCAGTCGCAGTGAAGCCACAAACCTCTCTCCCTTTAAGGGGAGAGATTTTAGGGGAAGCTGAACRGCGCTGCTGGGCTGAGCGAAACGAAGGGCGGGAAGGGACAGCCTAAGAGCAGAACTGGGGAAGGATCTTCTAGCTCTACTGCGGTTTAATCCTTGGCACGGGTACTGGGGGCAAGGGAGGGGGATGCAGGGAGAATATTTGCACTGCCTGACATTCAACACGTCACCTAGGATCTCGGTGAGCCCTTGGATGGGACGGCCTGTCGAGCACCTTGCGAGGCAATGCCACAGCTCCGYGGCAGCCGGCTCCTCGCCTCCGGCTTGGACGTCACCTCGAGAGAGAACTTGGGCCACGCGCGAGGGAGACCCAAGGGACGCAGAGGCCGAGGTGCCGCCCGAGGGGCCAAGGGGGCCCGCATGGTCCCTGCGCTCGGCGCGCAGCTCCCGCTCCGGTCCCGACCCGCCGCGGTGTGGGGTCGGTGTCGCCCGGCTCGCACCGCGCACCAGCCCGCGGCGGCCTCTGCGCRCACCGCGCCGGGGAAAGCAGCATTTCACCTGTAAACAGAGGGCTTTTTGTCCTTTTTTTTTGCCCCAAAACTCCTAACACCCCACTCCAGCCTCACATCATGCTCCTTTGGGTCACTTCTCAGAGCAGAATCGCCTTTAAACCTTTTGTCCTCAAGGGAAAACCCCTTGTGCTTCGGCACAGAGGCAGTACAGAGAAGCAGGGCCAGGAAATGAAGCATCATGTGGGCAAGCTGCCTAGCTGTTGGTCAGCTTCCACGCACTCCTTAGTGATGGGTGCTGCTGCAAGGACACCCTCGCTGGCTCTGAGCTCCCGGGCATGCAGAAGGGTCTGGGTACCAGTAAGGTTTCCAGGTGGGGAGTATAGGAACAGGCTCCTGCTTTTCCACTTTAGACTTGAGCACGGATGGACTCAGCTAACAGAGATAAGCAGCAGTTGCACCACGGTATACGAACCTCAGCTGTACCAGGGCAGCACATTTGAGCCTTTTGCCCCATCAGATCTCTCTCTCTCTCTCTTTTTTTTTTTTTTTTTTTTAAGACAGTTCTTGAGGATGAAAACGTTGCTGTTCTTTGGTAGATACAGAAATCTGTCGGCAGAGTTCCCCTGTCCTACTAACACTGACGTACAAATGGGGACACTTTAAGCACATTCAACCTGACCTCCAGCCTGACCCACTGCACGTACCAAGACGGCAATGCATCTTCGTAGCATCTTTACCTTCCACAGCAGGAAACTACCCCTCATCCCTCGAAACCCAACGGAGCCACGTGCCAGGCCAAACGGCCGCGGAGCGCCCGGGCAGGAGCCTGGGCAACCCCAGGCTAGGAAGCTCTCGAGTTGCTTCTCTCCAAGAACATCAAGTTCAACACATTCCACACATGCTTGTTGGCTTCTCAGTTACACAGCAAACACAGTAACAAACTGTCCACTAAAGCCTCGACTTGTTTCGAGCACGGCCCCGTCTCGGTTTGTTTCTCCTCGTTTTGTTGCTCCTTCTCTTCTCCGTTGCTCTGCGGCTCCTCCTGCGGGCAGCAGCACTGGAGTGGCAGACGGCGAGCGCGCGGGCGGCGGGAGGAAGAACGAGGCACTTCTGTTTGGCTGGTGTTCCTTGGCTTCCCTTGCCCCGCGGCGGCTGCGCTCCCGAGGCGGCGCCTCCGCGGGAATGCGCCGCGCGCGGGCGGTAGGCACTTGGCGAGGGGCCCCGGGGCGGCGCCCCGCGCTCGGCTATGTCATCAGGATGGGCTTCTGCCGCACTTCCAGGATATCTGCACGGGAGAGAATCATAGAAGAATCACAGAGTGGCTGAGGTTGGAAGGGACCCCTAGAGACCATCCAGTCCAACCCCCTGCTCCAGCAGGGACACCCAGAGCACGGGGCACAGGGCTCTTAATTAGAGAGCACTGGCTTTTACTGGATTCCATAATTTCTCTTAGCTGGGTAACAACCCCCACGTGCCCACAAGAAAAGGGCACAGGATGCAGAAGTGTCTCTGCACAGTTCCCCCCTCTGCCTCAGCAGCTACCGTTTCCTTCTGCGCAGAGCAGGAACAAACCACTTTTGCAACAGGCTTTGAAATCTCAGCTTGCAAACGAGGACAAGACTGCAGACTATTACACCAGCAGAGTGCAATTTAGGACATCAATGGAACACCCACATTGTCTTCCTAACTCTTCCCGCAGCACATTAACCTCTTTAAAGAGCAACAGATTCCTCAGGAACCGTTTTTCCTCTCTGCTTCCTCTCAGGAGCAGCTTGACAATAGCTTTAAAATAGCCTGGTTTCCTTTTCAGGTGAAGTCTCAGGTGAAGTTCACCTGACACAGACAAGGAAAAGAACACACTGAACAAAACCCCGTGTCCAGGCAAACCTATTTCCAAGTCATCCTACTTGCTGGGTGGGCACAGAAGGAAAGCAATTAAGTTCTCAGAGCGAGCAGCAGTTTTAAGGATGTCCCAAGAGGCAGGACTTGGAGCAGCCTTGGGACAACAACAYGAAGCCTAGACTTGCAGACCTGGCCACCGTGGGGCTAGCAATGATCCCCTAGCGCCCGCATCACGGCAAACATCCCCACAAGTGATGGGTGACGCTGGGCACCCAGCTGACTTACAAACATCAGTAGAGGAACGTGGACCATTCCAAGCAACTCTTCACGCAGAGCCCAACTTTAAAAGGCAAAACTGCCACTTAGGAGACCACTGCAAATTCCAGACTTGCCTTTCCACAATTCCCTTAATGAAAGGTCTCAGCTCTACCTGTTGCCGTCAGTAGCTGGGTTCTTAACTTGGTTATTTTGCCAGCTGGAGAAAGAGGAACTTGCTCTAATACTAAGGCTGCCTGGGAGCCTAATGACCTTCTCCACTTATAGGCAATGAATGTTAAGCTTCACCTGTTAAAATCCGATGCAATGGCAGAGTGATGTAGGTTAAGTGTGCATAGAGTAGGAAATTTTCATCTGTTCTGTTGAGCTTCAGCCAGGAGCCAACCAGGGACCGTCCCGTTCCCGACAGCGACCGCGACCTCAGGTTTGTGGCGTTGTGCAGGTCTGGCAAGGCAGAAGACAGTTTTCACAGTGATGCTACTTCCACACTTATTGGCACACGCAACAGAAAATCAGAAAATTCTTCTTTTTTTTTTTTTCTCCCAGCCTCGCCTCGCGTACAAAGGAGAAAATCCCTACAATTAAGTAGTTACTCATACAGAAACACAGGAGGGTAAGAGAGGAACAACTATTTGCGTCTTTTACAGGGAAAACAGACACCTGCGAGGCAAAGAGGAGAGGCTGCACTAAGGGGCCCGCTCCCTGCAGCTCCCCAGGCTACATCTCAGACCCCCCAGCAATTCTGGCCCTAATAGGAGCCCCCAAACACAACTTCTGAAAACTGAGCCTTGCTCCACAGAACTAGAAGCTGATATTAAAATAAAAACAGTTCTGGACCACAGCAATGCAAGCTCTGGGATCCATTTGTTCAGAAGTAGGGTCCTAAAACAGCAGGGTCCAAACAGGCCCATCCAAATTTTAAAAGAAAATGCAGCAGAATCTACTCTGGCAGCACACGGAGCGACACAGCAAGTCTCATTTATCCTACTTTTCTCTGCTAGTGCACTGGAGGTATCCAAGGCCACCACTGAAATTTCCTGAGCAAACACGGCTTTCTGAATTTGTAGAGAAATGCAGTTTTGCTCCTTCTCCTTTTAGAAATGTTATATTCTTAAACAAGTGCAGCTTCCTGACATAATACATTAAATTACTCTTCTAATCCTATCCAAATTTGACCTATGGCAATGCTGCTCGGCTCCGCTGCTCAAATTTTAATCATCATAGATTTTTTCATAATCATAAATCATCTGGGTGAAAGGCAATTTTGGAGGTCATCTGGTCCAGCCTCCCACTCAACAGCAGCAATAGTATGAAACAACAAGGGCTACATGACATCATGGACCAGGAAAGAATAGGAAAACACCCTTAACAAGGCTGCAAGTGAAGCCACATTTTGCAGTGTCTACTTTTGTAAATAGAAAGAGTGAAAATAGCAAGAACACTCATCATTACATTTCAGGGCACCTGCTTGTGTTGCTACTGAGCCCAGCGCTGCCAGCTTCTGATTCTTCTCATCTGGAAATCAGCTTTTTATTTACCTATTAACTTCCTAATGGAACCCTGGATTTGCTAACATTTCTAGATTGAGGTTTTTTTTTTTTTTTTTTTGAATATAAGCTGTTCAGACATTGCCAATCGAGTGTTTCTTGTCTTATAAAACTGTAATACAACTGGACTTACAAAATGTATTCTGAACAAGTTTCAATTTTTGTCTTGTTGTTTCACACCAAGCAATCAGAATTAAGGGAAAGTTACCAATGTGTTAGACCATCCCATGAAGAAGTTAATTCATCGGATTTCTTTTTTTCTGGAGAACTAGAATGCAAGGCCACTTGAAGTAAATGCCTCTTCAACGGTTTCCAACTCTGAACGTGCTCATGGAATTCAGAGGACTTCTCCTCCTGAAATTTCTATCAAATATTTCACCTGTCTAAAAGCAGGAGATTATTTCCAAACACCTGCAGGAATCACTGGGGCACTTGATTTTCTGGAGAGTTGTTTTTTTTTCCACCCTGCAATTTTTTTGGAGAATCCAGCACTGGGATCCCTCTCCATCACCCCGTCCCCTTTGCAGAGGGGCTGGGTTAGCTGCTGTTACTGCTCTCACCTCCACTGTCATCATCTCTGAAGAATTCCTCGCTGTCGTTTGCCGAGTGGGATTTTTTCATTTCGGCAATGCGGTTGCGGGGCACTTTTCTCTTGAGGGATGGGGAGAAGAAGGACGGGCGGTTGTTGCGCTCCGGGGTCGGCGGCGTGCTGAAAGACGTGACCTGAAAGGGAAGTGGAAGAAATGCTGAGAAACTGCTTGGCTTGAAAGCGTGTTACACTACCAACAATAAATAACCAGTCCCAATAGGTGGCACAAGGCAGCCGTGAGCAAAATTCACCAGGAAGCCCAATCTTATTTTTCCAAATTCCAGAGACTGAGTTAATACGAGTAGTGACACACTAAAATTGCCAATCTTCATTCCTCTGGTAAACACATGGGAGTTTCAGTGCTGAAAAGATGCTTTATGGGGTCACAAGTGAAGCTCATGGTGTTTCTGTGAAGCAGGGTCACAAGGCAATCAACCCGCAAGGCCAATCTAAACAGAAGTCAATGCACAATTAYATGATTTTTTCTATAGGTTAGAGGGAAAAAAAAAAGCACAAGTGAAAGGCCACTGATCAAGTGATGCGCCTCAGTGATGGCAAATGCAGGGATATAAATGTCCACAGTGAAACACAAGTTAGGTGCAAAGCTACACGCAGATCCTTCCTTCAGGACAAAGGTTCCTCTTGGGTAAACCACACTTACAGTTGACCATTTCAGGAGGACTTTTGAATGAAGTGTTATGTTAGTAATATTTTAGTAATTTCCTTTCAAAGGAGGGGGCGGGGGGGAAAAGGCATTGCAAACTACGTTCCTAATGGAGATGAGCAACTCCTAACTCCTTTCTTCACACAGTCAATTTAACGACTCTGTAAGCTCCTCCTGGTCTGGAATCTCACACTCTCGTACTGCTCACGTGTCCATACGAATAAGAGAGCAAACACGTTAGTGAGGTGACAGCAAACCTGTTATGCTGCTGTTGCACTGAAGAATCTCTGTCATCTGTCACTGCTATAAAAGAAAATCAGAAGCATTTTACCTGTCAAATGATCTTTTTTAGCATATTTGATCTCTAATTTGTGCTCACCTCAATTTAATTTTAATGCGGCAGCCACTTCATATCACCCATGGAAGGAGAAATCAGTAACACAGACAAAAGTCACCATCAAAATCATTGCCAGAAAAGCACTGACAAAACGTTACCACAGAGCAGCCCTGGAAGCCTGGGAGTCAGAAGGGCAGAAAGCTCCTCCAGCCCCGAGTTCTCCAGGTTGTAGCTATACGGTAGACAGCACCTATAGGCAGCAGGAGAGCTCTGTCCTAACAGCTCCCTTGGCCTTGTAGGAAGCCAGAACGACAAGCAAGCAAAAAAATCCCGTGCAGCTTTTTTAAACYATGTGGATTGCCTAGATCAGGCAGGAAACCAGACTAAAACCCATCAGTAGCTACCCTGCCCAGGCCACATATGTGCACCTACTTTGAAGCAATTTGCCTAGTGACTATTAACGAGGCAAAACRCACTCAGTGGCACAGTGCTCTGGACTGGAAAAGGGTCCAGCTGACATCTGTGGTATTTTATTGCACTTCTGTCATGTTTCCTGTGAGGCTTAGGAAACACCCTACCTCTTATACTAATTCCGCATTTGTAGGTAAATCCTGGCTTTTACAGAAATGGAATCCATCCATTTTCACGGCCAAATCATTCTCCCTGTTGCCTCATYGTTGCTTCAATAAAGCCCTCCTCCAGAAGCCTGAATCATCCAGTCACCTCCGTATTCTCTATTTGCTCAAGGAAAACTGCAAAGAGTCCCTCCCCACAAACACAATATGCTCCAAAACACACAAATTTAGCTTGTGATCTATCCCCAACAGTCCACCCCCTGCCTTTGAAGCAAAAGGAATCCACGCTTAGCTGGAGGGCAGTGTCTCTGCCTGCTACTTACCCTCTCGTGCACCGGTGACTCTGGATTCGAATCCTCCTCGGTGCCGTAGGGCGACGTGTCGCCCGTTGGAACTCTGCTCACGGCCATCTCCGCGTGCCCTTTGCCTTGGGGTCCTTTCATGCGGACGAACTCCATGTTGTTATACTTGTAGAAGCCAAAGGACATCCTCTGGGCCATCTTGGCCGCAACGCTCACCTGCAAGGCACCAAGGTGGGACAGGAGCACAGCTGAGAGCGCCGCGCTTCACAGGGCTACGTTCCCCGACAGCAGCAGCTCAAGTCAACAGCACAGCACCTCGTGACAAATACATTCATTTTTACAGAGTATTTTAATTCACGAGGAGTGATTTTGCAAGACAAAACCTTCAGGAGTATGAAGAGCTTGACCCCCTTCTGTGAAAAGGCAAGCAGATCAGATCTCAAGTTTGGCTTTGGGCTGTGCTTGAGTATTTAGAGATTTAACAACTACATTAACAAGAGGGAAACAGCAGTGTGCTCAGACAGGATACTCCTCACCTTTGATATGACATTATCACACCAAATGTTGCCTATCCACTGCAAGGCTTTCTCTCTGCTTGGTCTTCACTGATTTTGCACTCCTGTGCACTTTAATAACCTGCCTGTTAATTGCACGATGCCATAAGGCGATGGCCGGAYAGAGAAGCAATTCAGTTCAACCTCCTCTAGAAGGACACCTAGAAGAGTATGAACTATTTGCACTTAAAATGAGAAGAAGGGGAGATTACTCAGAGATTTTCCTCAAAGGGATGGATCAAAGGGAAAGGAACCATGGGAGATGAGGGGGTTCACAGCAGAAAGCAATTTAAGTTTTGAATCCCTCAGGGCTGTCTTCAGAGCAAGCTGTGTGGGTTTATTTAGTTTTTTGTTTCTTGCACTCTCAGCTTCAGCACAGAACCCTAAACTGCAGGTGCTGGCACTTCATGTTTCTAAAGGTAAGCAAAAAAGTTTCTCCATGAGCAAAACTATAGTGGCTTTCTGAAAATCATTGGGAGTATAAAATTCAAGGAAGGAAAGCACATTTTACACACGAGCTATCAGAGTTCAAAAACCTCCTGTAACACCTTTCTCCTCTGAAGATAATTAAAAATATCCATTAGCTTTCAGAAAAGCAAAGGGGCTCCCAAACTCCTTTTATTCGGATCCACTTCCGTGCCACGCTCTCGGGTTCTTATCAACCTCATTCCCACTGGTAAACACCAAATTCTTCCACCCCGATCTGAGCAACCTGCGACTTGCAAAGCCCCAAAGGCCTGGCTGCCACACAGGTGACTGAAGAGAACAGAAAGCCAACCCTTTGGGGAGCACAAAAGGTGTTTAGCACATGGGCACTGTAGAGGACACTGCCCTTCTGAAGGGCCTTACCCTGTTGTCATAGACTTTCTTGAGTGCTTCATAGCGGATGGAGCCCTGGAAAATCACCCCTTGGAAGGTGTTGCTTTTGTCACTGGCCACCAGCTCCACACAGACCATTTCTCCTTCGCCCACCGTCATGTCACTGAAAACCTGCCAGGGATACAAGAGGAAAGACCTGAAGGGCAACTGCAGCGGTTAAAGCTCGAACATATTCAGTTTCCCACAACTCTCCTTATGCCCAGCACAGATTCAATGATAGAAATCAAGGGAGCTCTTGGCTYCACGCCAGCCTTTTCAAAGCACTTGGCCTTAAGGCACTGCTCATTGCAGATCACGTGTTGGGTTAAGCAGTGCTCACACCTAGTCTGTCTTACTCGGCCCATCATAAAGACAAACACCAACATTCAACTTCAACTTCAGGTTTCAAATCCATTAAAGCTGGAGAAAACCCCAAAAAATCATCATAGGCCTGGTCCCATAAAAAGTCATGGAATGAAAATCCCTAGTGGTGAAGAATATTTGTCCAAAAAGGCATCAAGGAAAAAAAAAAACCTCACCCAGGTCAGAAGCCCAGACAAAGTTCTGCTGCAGCAAGAAACTCACCTCTTCAAAACTGTCAATCATAAAGAATATGTTGGGGTAGCTGATTTTTGACTCTTCTCCTTTGCTGTCCATCGGGTGCTTGCTAGGAGATGCAAACACTTGCTGAGGAAGATTTAGGAGAAAGGTTGCATCAGTTCAGCTAAAGGTAGACAGGACTTGGTGCAYTGAACGCAAGGGAAACCCCACCAAGAGCCCACAGGCCAACGCTGCTCAAACAAGCACTGCTCTGCCTTATGCTAAGGATGCTGGACATCCTGCAGGCAAGGCTCAACTGGCTGCTGACTACAGTCCATGCTGAACAAGTGAAAGAAAAACAACTAAGGGCTGTTCGTCCTTACTTGCACATAGGAAGCCTATGTGAAAATTTTGTTAAAGATGGTTAAAAAAGGGAAGGTTGCTGCTGCAGGGCAAGCAGCAGCATTAGCAAAGCTAATAGGACTCCTCAAAGATTACTGTCACCACTGCAGGAAATATGGATGTCTTCTGGTTCAATACTATCCATCGTGTGCAAAAGAAAAACTGATCTTGCTAGAAAGCTTATTGTTAAGCCATAAACAAATAAATGAATAAAAATCAGTGTAGTCTGCAAAATGATTTTTGGTAGGAGTTGGATTCCCCCTTTCCCCCTAGGTTTGTGTCTTAGGGACAGGGAGTAGCTGTGGARTAGTACAGCACATCAGACTCCTGAACGGTGTTCCCACCAACTCAAGGAGCTACACACTGACAGGATAACAAACTTTCTAAAACAAGAACAGCCAGAGTAGTAATATAGATCTAAAATAATAAATAATAATAAAAGTTGCCTTTTGTTCAGTTAAAATGAACAGCCTCAGTGCTGTATGCTGCAATGAGAATGTGCTAATGCAAACAGACCTTCCTTCCACAGTATACAGATTTGCTTCGTCTCCCCCATAAAGAGAGTTCATCATGTGGAAATGCTACTGCTACGTGCTCATGTATTTCTATGTTTTCTGAGTGTCTCCTGGAAAAGGAGACATAAAGAAAAATTTTAGAGTCTCACACTTTAAGCCTCTAGGAACTGGGAGCAAAAAAGCCCCTCCATATTTGGAATATTGGACAGCTCTTTTCTTCTTCTTCTTCCCACCTTTCAAATCTGCAAACAGTACTGACAGATTATTCTTTCTCAAAACAATTTTGCCAAAATTAACTGAGGGTGAAAGATAATTTCCGGAGCACAGGGGAAACATGAAACAATGAGAAATACAATGCTTATGTCCATGATGTAAATGTGGCGTCTCAGCAACTACAACAGAGGGCAACTGTTCACCCAAATAATGCAAATTACAAATACCATAATCAGTGTGCTAGCTTGCCTTGTAGGCAACACACTTGATTTCAAAAGAGAAAGACAAAAATTAAAGGATAAAAAAAAMCCCTGTGGCCTAGTTTAGATAAAGCCATACAAGCAGTTGAAGGAGCTAAAGGAAAGGAAACCATTTGTGCAACAGGAGCTTTTCAAAATAGMATTTATGCCAAGTAGGGAAAAGGTGTTGGAAGATCTGTTGGCAACAGATCTGATGAAGAAATGTGGAGTTTCCCGCGTGTGGCCCATCTCTGCTCATTTTTCAGTGTTCTCTGCTACATTAAGCCCTATATTAACCGACTGCCACACACGAGCGAGTGCGAAAGGCCTGTGGGGTGCTGCTGCAAGGTTAGGAGCAGTTTAAGTCAGAAAAGGCAAGAATGCCACCCTATTGCAGTACCAGGCAAGAGCTGAGGCTGGAGATCATCTAATGACCTCGGGCATGTTGCCCAGGACCATGTCCATAAGGCTCTTCAGTATCTCCTGAGGATGGAGACTCCCCACAGCTTCTGTGGGCAAGCTGTTCCAGAGCTTGGGCACCCTCATAATGGGGAAAAAAACCTAGGTTTTTCCTTATGTTCAGATGGAACTGCCTGTGCTCTGGCTTGTGCCCGTGGCCTCTTATCCCTGTCACTAAGCACCAGAAGATAAGCTGATAATCAGCAAGTTATTTATCATTTAATGACCCTAATAGCAGGTATTACAGGCTAACCCTGAAGATTTCCTCAAAAAACGTTTGTGGCTTTGCCAACTCTACAATTTCAGGTTTATTTTCAGATTGGTTAAACAGTTGGACATATCCCCCCCAATATAATCTTTCCAAATCCAGTAAGAAGAGAAATATGCCTTGAATGCTGAAAAGCCATTACAATTTTCTGAAAGAGGCTATCAAGCATATTTAGATCTCAGCGCATGGACAACCTGCACCAGATGAAAGCTAAAAACCTGAGCTTCCACAGAGAGCAGCCTAGGAACTACTGCTCTGATTTTTTCTTTTTTAATTTTTGGATCGCATAATATTAAATGCTAAGCTCTAGTGGACAGAAATAAGGTGGTAAACTCACCTGAGATTTCTTTTTGTGAATGTGAATATCTCCTCCATCTGATCGTGTGCACACGGCACAAGTCACCACATAATCCAGCTGAAAAAGAGAAATCAGTCAGAGAAATGAAGGTTTAGAGTTAAAAACCATTTAGGTGCACAAACCRGATTAAGTTCTGCCTTCCCTCTTTGGAAAAAAAAAAGTCACCTAAAAAACCTCCTGTCAACATTATTTAACGTGAGCTTTCTGGCAGAGGCGGGAAATAAGCATAACACACAGACTTCAAGGAATACATGGAAAACATCACCTGCCTTGGAAAAGGGAAAAAGAGGAACTTTAATGAACATAAGCAACACCTTAGACTAATCGAAAGCCATTAGAATAGCCTACCAAATAAGCAGGGAAAACTCATATGGAGCAAGTGTGACTCTTCCAGACAGCAATGCCCTGCTGCAACAGCCCCTCCAAATTCTGACTGCAGCAAAATGTGTTTTACTTTTATGCATTATCAGACCTTGGTGCAATTGCTGTCTGCAGAGAAGTCTGGCAATGACAGTTTTGGGAGGGAGGCAAGAAAAAAAACAAGGCTTCTTCTCCAGTTCTCATATTTTGAGGCCATATTCAACAAAACTTAATAGAGCTCTGGAATGACTGCAGTATCAAACAGCTTCCCAAAGTACCAAAGGAATGTGAAATAACTGAACAACTCCTAAGGCAATTAAAAAACAATTTGTGCTAGTTTCATGTTACCAACCAAAAAAGGCCTGGCCCACTGCAGTTCTTACGACAGGAGCAGCAAATTCCCAGGGCAGTGCCCACCATTTTTACTGCACCTCCACTCTGCAGTTTTCATCCCTAGCTGCTCCAGGATTGTATTTAATGAAAGTGTTACCTGTGTAGCAGTCCCGTTCATTCTTAAAAATACCAAAATTTGATGATAAACTGCATTTTGCAAAGCTTCTTGTTACTGAGCATAGCGCTCAGCCCACCTTCACTAGGTATATTTAAAGGCTTTTTTTGAGAAAAGTCAATGGGACTCCACTGGAAAAAAACGCATTTCTCAGTTCATTTATGCTCATTTAGTGTCTGAAGGATGAAATGAAAAGCAGGTTTTGTTTCTAATCTCCACAGGAGTTCAAACTTCCCAAGGAAGGGAAGAGAGGGAGTAGATCAAAGTCTGCCCATAGCCTCCATACTGTCATTAGCCTGTTAAAAATTAAGAAAGCTTCAGTGTAACCTTTTGCAGAATGAGGTTCAGGTAGACGCTCTCCTCCCAGTCGATGTCAGGGTCTCCGAGGCCGGGCAGCTTCTTGGAATCTCTGCGGTAAACCTCCACCTCGACCTGCTGAGAAAGCACAAGGCCTCGCATGACACGGGCTACGAGCACCTCCACGCACGCGTGGCATCAAGAACAGAATTCACTCCGGAAAACCAAACWAAAAAAGAAACAGCAAGAAGCTGAACTGGCCTAAATGACAAATGCAAAACTGATGAAGCTGCAGCGGTGGTTCATGAACCGTTCCTTCATTCTGCTCAGGGCAGAAAAAAGSGGGTTCATTAGAAAACAGGGAACTGGAAAGCCAGAATATGCAACCAAAAGAGATGAGCACCCAATACATATATTTCAATATATTTCATATATTTCAGTTCCTTTCAGAAGGGTGAAATTGCAAGGTTGAAAACCCATGAAGCACAATGAAGCAGTGCAGTATTTCCAGAATGAGGGTGCAGAACTGGCACCCTCAGACACTACAGCTGCCTTCTTCTCTACTGTTATTTTCCACCCTTACAAACATCTTTTCAAAATATCTATAGACACATATATAATTATTTGCTTTTCTGTTATTTCTTTTAAAGTTCCCAGCCAGGAGTTTTTCTACCAGCAACATAATTCCCTAAAGCGAGAATTACTGTTAAAACAAAACAAAAARGCTGAGATGTGAACAGCTGAAGACAATATTGTAATTTAAGTTGATCTGCAAATAAAGTAAAGCAGTATTTGCCCTTTTATACCTACAAGCATGGAAAGACCGTGTTCACAAGACTGCAGGAATTCCCTGGGAGACAGAAGCTGCCGTGTCACAGGGGCAATACCAAGAGTGAACTCGGTATTCACTCACAAACTGGACGAACCCAGGGCAAACCTCTGCATTTAACTAACTCCTGGGTTTAACCACCAAGTTGACAGCAAATATCTGATGTCTTTGGTGGCCCGGCCTTTGTGGCCACAGGGTCCTTATCTTTAACCGGGCAAGAATTCAGTAGTTTCTGAGCACCGTTCAATCCCACCTCGGCCACTCATGTTTTCCAACCAAGGGCCTGGCAGGACTGATCCACGTGCTGAACGATTCCCCTTGGGCAGTTACGGAGCCCTCGCACCACGTTTCTCCCYGCTTGCTACACGGCAGCCACCGGTCAATGCTCCTTCAGGTGAACGGGGCAAAATCCCCTCAAGGGCAGGCTGTGGCCCTCACGGCTAGGCAGCTCCTCTCGGCCTTCCCTGCGCTCTCCGTGTCTCACGGTCCTTTCAGGAGAGCAACACCAGGACCTCCACACAGTTTTCCAGCCACAGCTGCACGTGCTCCTCACTGCTCCTCTGCTTAGGCCACAATGTGTTCCTGGCACGGACGCGTGGGAAGCAGGCCACATTCCCTGCGGAATCAGATGGCTCAGCTGGATCCCTCAGTCCCTCGGGGCTCACGTTGCTCTGACACCCTTGCCCTGKTGACTGCCATTTACTCGCCTCCTGTTTGGGTCAACCACAGAGCTGAGTCTCCTGCTACTTCTTAAGGCCAGGCACTGAGCAGCGCAGAAGCCCTGCTGCAGAAACAGCTCCACAAAATGTCCATTTTCCTCCCTTTTTCTACTTCATACGAGTGAACTCCAGGGAATTTAGCTTCCGCTGGTACCGTTAGGCAGGCCGATTGGCCTCGCCCTGGTGAGGAGCAGCCTCGTGACATTCAAGGCGGGCGAGCGCGGGGCCCCGCGCGTCCAGAGGAGCCATCTCCTGCACCAGCAGAGCCTGGGGGGACACAGCAAGGTGGCCAAGAGCCAGCAGTGACGTGGGGCCCAGGTGTCCCAGGCTCAAGAGGAAAGTGCCGCATGAGGGGGATGATCCTCCCCTCCAGTGAGCCCCGCTGAGGAGCCATCTGGAACCAGGCCGGGGCCTGTGCTGGGCTCCCCAGCACGGGAGGGATGTGGAACCCCTAGAGAGCGCCCAGCGCAGGGCTAGGACCCTCAGGGGCCTGCAGCCCCTCTGCTGAGGGCGCCTCACAGCACCCCCCAGCCCCCCAAGCCACTGAAACACTCTCAAAAATAAACCTCAACTCTCACAACTCTCAATAATAAACTGAAATCAACACAGGCCGTGAGCAAGGAGGCAGCGGGACAGCGAGGAGACCCTTCACAAGCAGCAGCACCTTGCTGGTCTTCAGCACCAGTGCAAAGCAGATGCTGCTGTTCTGCAATGCAGGCGTAGCACCACTTCTCACTATCCTACCCGACGTTTGCTAAGAAACCATAGGCTGCAATGGGGTGGCAAGCATGAAAAGGAGAGGAGGAAGGGCCGGCATTCCAGACATTTTCCACAGTATAACTTAAGCTGCTCAGATAGGAAATACACTCTCTCCAGAGCCAGCAGCGGGACTCAGGGTGATACTGGATTCCTAGGTTGTCACACTGCCAGGTTTGAGGTGCAAAGACAAGAAGGAAAACCAGCCAAAGTTTATTTCAATAACTGGACGGTATCTTGTACCAATACAGCATTATACCTTGAGACACCTTCATGAGAGCACGTCTTTCACATCCCCATCACACAGTGCTTCCCGCTGTTCTGAAGCCTAGCGTTGCTTGCAACCTCAGAAGCATCTTTCTCATGTTTATCCAAGTGTTTCCCTATAATTCCGTGCRTTATCGTCTTAAATCCTACCTGAACTAAATTGCCCGAGTTCACTAATAAGGCAACTAGCGCCCTTTCCTCCCACGCTTCGTCCTCCTCCCTTGGGCACCAGTCCTGTTCCGTTCTACTTTTTTCTGCTGCCCTATTTCCAGCCACCCATTCTGTTCTCCTCGTTACCACCTCCCACACCTCACCATACAACTGATTTCTGGTGCACGTAGAGCACGTCGTGCTGCCTGCAGGTGCTAAACCTACAGCTCGAGACAACCTCGTAGCTCAGACACCGGTATGTGCAACAGCACCAGCTTGGCTTGGCTCAGCAATTCCAGCACTTGGGCATCCTTATTCCCTCCAGCAGCCTCACACGTAGCACCCGCTCTGGGRCATGAATCAGCAGCCTCATGGAAAGCAATGAGCTGTCTCACCGTCAGCAGGCACTTACACATCCCCTCCAAATGGAAGTAATTGCTGCCCAGGACACACCAGGCACCATCCGTGTCCTCATCAGAAGGGCCATCCCATGAGACTGCRATCCTTGGCTGCTTCACTACCAGATTCATCTATAGTTAACACATAGCGATGCTTTGCACTACACAAGGCATTTGGCAAGAAGTTTGGACTGTGGAAGAAGATTACATTTTATCAGCACCATTTGTCACAAGTGAAATCTTCCTCTTAGGAAAATGAAAGACCACTTAAAAGAAGACMAAAGAGAGAGGAAAATATTTGAAGTACAACAAGGAATTGCTGCTAAATGCTGGAGATGAGTGTGGTAGGTACACTCTGGGCTTTTCTTTTTTCCCCCTTGCTGTTAATGAGTGAAATAGCTAATTAGGGCTTGCAAGCAGCTGTGAGCAGCTGCAAGGCCTTGCAACTAGCAATTCGCACAGAAGCTGTAAGGACAACATGACACAGTGTAAGCCCTTATCTAACTGCAAAACAAACAAGAACAGATTTAGACACCTGTTACATGCCAAAAATATCCAGGAARAATACCGTGACCACCTCACGATTCCATGTAGGTATCAAACAAGCCCTTGGGACTGTCAAGTTGSAGCAAGGTGCTCCTGGGCCTGCAGTCAAGCACTCCGCTGAGGTTGGGATGCCATCAGGGGTAATCCCTGGTGCTCCATTTTGGGTGATTTAGGGGACTTTTGATTCTCCGTAGGGTAGCAGTTGATGCTCATACTGACATCTGAGCTTGCTTAGCAACTTCCCTCTGCCTACCTATTTTGCTAAAGACTGTTCTAATGATCTACCCGAGCACCATCTCTGCGTGTCTGACCCCTTAGACACGAACCACTGGCCAAGTTCAAGACTAAGATTGGATCCCACCGCAAGGGGACTCCTTTCAAGAGGAGTTTGGAAAGCAAGGGGGTCTCTTCTGAACCCCCTGACTCAATGGGAGGGCTTCCACACACACTCTCTCTCTCTGAAGTCAGTGGATCTGACTTGAACCCTGTGCTCAACAGGAGGGCTGCCCAACCATCCACTGCCTTGATTCAGTCACCACAAGTCATACTGTAAGGGCCAGCCCCTGAGCGATGCCAGCAAATCACTCAAATAACCAAAATTAGCTTCCCAGGCTGGGCAGAACATTTAAACACCTTTTCTTTCTGCATCTTATGAACACATGCACTACAAAATTACCTGAAATACTTAGTGTGGCATTAGTACCACTCCTATATCAGGATAGGTCAAGGGAAGATATGATTTGTTAGAACAATAGGGTTTTTTTTTTTTTTTTTAAACTAAATCTAAAATTTTCTTGCAAATCTACTTGGTTAGACAGAAAGAACAAACTTTGGGGCATAAAGCCATCTTCTGCTCCTTCTGCCACCCCCCTCAAAATATATATAAAAAGATATATAAAAGATATATAAATATATATATAATATATAAAAGATATATAAAAGATATATAAAGATATATAAATATATATAAAAATATATATAAAAAGATGTTTTTTTTCCCCAGCCTCTGCAAGGTCATGACTTCTCACTCCCAAACATCATCTCTCAAGTAACCGAAAAAGTATCACTCCAACCTATTCCCAGCAAAACAGGCATTTTTAGACTCGTGCCAATCTGCATCATCTCCATGACCAACATCACCAAGGTCATCCCCAATACTTCGCAGGCAGCGATCGGACTGCGATCAGCAACTGCAGTGCCACTTCACTGCAGCTCCAGAGCATTTCTSATGCTTATCTGGCATGGTCAGTAAGTCCAAAGTCGGGATATTATCCTGGGAGCATTTCAGTCTCTGTGGTGCAGGAATAAAAGATTTGGGGGGAAAAATAAAGAAAACAGCCACTGTGGCCTGGAGGTCACAAGTTCCATCTCCAAGACTTTGGCTCTGTATCTGCTTGGCAAACTGGGAGGGCACTGGGAAGAAAGTGTCATCTTGCGCTCTGTAACGGGGGCTTCCAGGCATCGTTGCCAACC